GCCAGTGTAATCACAAGAATCCCTGAATCACAATGAGAAGAAATCTCAACAAACTCTAACACTCTTTCAGAGTGCTCAGGATACTCATACATACTCTTTGGTGGCTGTGTTTTGTTTTTTCTTGTTATTATTGTTGTTATTGTTCTGGGGATTGAACCAGTGCCTCACACATGCTATACATACACTGTATCACTGAGCTACACTTCCAGCCTGGCTGTAGCCTTTTTTAAAAAAAAAATTAATTCACACTAATTGTACATATTAATGAGAGCCAATGTGATATTTCCATTCTTGCATAGAGCGTATATTTATCACATTTAACTATCTTTTTTTCCACCACTCTGGCCCCTGCTCCCTTCTCAAGCCCTAGTAATCACTATTCTACTTTCAGGTTAACTCTTTTTAGCATTCACATGTGTGAGAGAACATGTGGTACTTGGCTTTTTGTGTCTTTTTTTTCTCATTTAATGTCCTTAAGATTTTGCTGCAAATGACAGGATTCCATTCTTAATGGCTGAATGTGTGTGTGTGTGTGTGTGTGTGATGTTCCATAGCCATTTATTTGTTGATGGGTACCTAGGCTGATTCTATATCAGTGCTTGTGAGTAGTCTGGGTATAGTCTTGATGGTGCCAATCTTGGCTCAATCTTCTATCAGACAATGATGCTCTCGCATCTTCTCATGCTTGTGATACACATGGTAGGGCTTTGGGGTTAGAATGAACTGGGTGACTCCAACTTTCTAACTTTGTAGCCTTGGGTACTTGGTACTTGATGAGGCCTTTGATTCATCTATAAAATGGAAATAATATCTATCAACAAGGTGGGTAGGAAGACTAGTGACAGTAAATATGAAATACCTGACAGTACCCAGGATATAGTAGGCTCTCACTGAGTTTAGTTATTACTGAATGATCCAACACTATTATCTCGTTTTCTCTACTAGAGTATAAGGTCTCTGAAAAGCAGGGACCTTGTTTTGTTCACTGCTGTTCTCTGTACTTAGAAGAGTGCCTAGATTACAGTAGGTATTCAGTAAATGTTGAATCACTGAGTGAAGTTTTAAACAACTCTTAGGGCCTTCTTATCCTGGCCAGCATTCAGACTCTCCTACTCTTACTCATGGGTCCTCTGGTCATGTTGTTGCCTCTGCCTAGGACATTCCCTCTTTAACTTTCACTTATCCTGATCTTAGTATAAGCATCTCTCTTCTAGGGAAACCTCTGATCTTCCTTTTCATAGTAATTGTTAACTATGTTGTAAATTTACTTTTATATATTTATTTACTTAAGATCTGTAAAAGTCAAGAGGACAGGGACCAGGTCTGTTGTATTCACCACTGAATTCTGTGGGATGAGACCAGATCTTCAGTACAAACTGCTAAAGGAATGAATCACTTTATATACTTTCTTTTCCTTTTTTTTTTTAAAGACTCTTCTCTGTGGGAAGTAGGGTCTGGTTTCTCAAATTGGATTAGAGGTCAATGCCAGGCTGTGTTAGGGCTCCACCATAATTCACCCCTTCCCTGTTTCTGGCTCAAGCACTTTGACTCTCTTACCAGGGCCAATTAGTCAGCCCCAAGGTGTCTCATTACTATTTATTGGGTCTTCATTATGCAGCTAGATCATCCAGCAGGAGGCCCAGAAAAGCCAGGATTTTGGCAGGGCTGGGAGTATTGAATGGGATTTGCCACTTACTCCGACCCCACTCTCACTCCGTTTATATTTGGTATTTATCACACTGTGGTGTAACTGTTAATTTTCAGATGTCTCCCCCACACACAGTGAAGATAGGATTCTCTCTTGTCCTCAGAGGCTGCTTTAGTGCGTAGTGTTTGACAAATGTTCATAAAGATTCCTTGAATGCACTGTTTTCCATGAGTGAAGCTTTACTGAGGACAAAAACCAAGTCATAGAGAAGGACTATATTTTTTTATCCTGAGCCATGAAATCCCTTTTTAAGTTAATTTGGGTTGAGTTTTCTGCTACTTGGAACTGAAAATATTTCTGAGTACAACTGATGGTGCTGAAGTACAGGATCTCTCATAAATTGTTTAAAACTTACCTTCATAAGAGTAGACTCGCCTAAAAAAAGAGAAAAAAGAGTAGAATCTCCTAATCTCTTGTCTTTGGGCTCAGCTCTAGGACTACATTTAACAAGTAGGATGAAAATCTGGGTGTGGTGGTGATGCCTGTAATTCTCACCTTCCGGAAGCTGAGGCCGGAAAGTTGCCAGTCAGTTCAAGCCCAGCCTGGGCTATATAGAGTTCATGGCCAGCCTGAACTACACATGGAGACTGTCACCAAAGTGAACCTAACTGAACTGAACTGAACCTAACAGAAACAAACCAAACCATTAATGGTCAATTTGAGTGGAAACACCCAGCTGAACTGAATCAGTGTGGTTTCTGAGCGTGGAGGACCCACCTGAGGATTGTTGTCTGAACGACATAAAAGGAGAACTTGAGGGAAAGCCTGCATGCTGCTGATTTCCGAGGAGGAACTTTGTTGTGGCTTATTTTCCTGATATGAACTTGGCTGTTCTGTCGGCTGGGAATGGCTGCTGCTCTCTTCTGGGGAGCTCTGGTCTTCCCCTTTGTCTTGAGCGTTGTTTCCTGGCTCCAGTGCAGATCTTTCAGCCTTCTGGCACAGATCCTTCACCAAGTTGTCGCAGACTTTCTAGCGTCCACTTCCATTGGTCCTTTCTGGTGGTATGGACTTGCAGGAGACATTGCTGTGGGCTCTAGGCCTTTGGCTGGATTCGTGTGGGACAATGCTGAGGGATCCAGGGCCTTCACTGGATTCTTTGGGTCTGTAGCTAGGGGACAGATCTCTTGCACTGTTCTGCATTTGACTTTTGGGGTGAATATTGTTAAGATAATCCTATAAATTTGTGTCCTGTATTAAATCTATTCCCTTGCAAACCCTGATTACAACACCAATCAAACAAAAACAAAACAAACAAACAAAACAAGTGGGATGTTAGCAGGCAGGTACAAGTAGCAGTGTGAGAAGTGCCTGCATGGTAGGGGCTGTCTCCTTGCACCACTGTCGGCTCCAATAGACTCCTTCTGGCAGCTGCTGTCTCTTTAGCCAGGGTCCCAGAATGAACACTGGTGGGGTGGACCAGAGCTCACCCTGTACAAAGGAGCCAAGCCTACTTAGATCCGCAGCTTAGAGCACAGCCACACAGCTCGGCCTAACCTCCATCTGGCAAACCAGAGTCACCTATGGTAAGACCTTTGAGAATTATTTTTTCATGTTGCCACTGAGATTTTATGACTGTTTGCTGTTAATAGCTGATTAAGGATAGGTCAGGGTTCCAAACTTGGCACAGTGTCTGAGTTATGTAGAGGACTTTAAACAAAGAGATAAATCTCACCCAGACTGTCTGGAGTGGTGGTCAGAAATTTATATTCTTTTTAGACTTTCTGTGGGTTTTTATATAGTGAGTCTCACATCTTTTTGCTCTTGTATGTTGGGATCACCAATATTAAAACAAGTGATGAGGTTTTTCTTAGATAACCTCTAAGACCCTTTTTATCACACTAAGATTGTGTGATCAAAGTCAGGGAACTCTGGGAAGTAGAATCTTTTTCAATTTGAATATTTCTGAGAAATCTGTTGAATTTTTCTTGCCTAATTTGAAGAAACAGAGGTAAATAAAATTGGAATTTATGGCCCCAGGGTTGTTTGCTTTTTATTTAAGAGTTGTTGCCTCTTAGTATTTCTGCCTGGGCTATGGTGAACAGGCAAATGAAAATTTAAGGCAGAATACGGACAGCTGAGACATAGGTCAGCAAAGAAGCACGGAGGAAGTCAAGCTTAGCAGAGAAGCTGGTGAAAGAGTGGTTTGGGAAGAAGCCTTTGGTGGCTTAGCAGTCAGGGACCTGGGATCATACCTGATTTGGGAGAGACTGAAGTTCAATTTTAGTTGTAAAAAATTGCCATGCCCCTGCTAACAATTTACAGGCCCAGGGCAAAATGTTTAAGAGTGCAAATTTATTTATAAAAAGCAGGATGAAAGTATAATTTAAAAGAAAATAATATCTCTTTAAAGTTATAACAAAAACTTTCACTGGAAAAAACACAGGAAACTAAAAAGGGTATTACCTGTTACTCATAAGCCACTTTTAATATATTGCTGTATAGTCTTCATGACTTTTTTTTGTGTATGTACACATGTATATTTTAGAAAGGATTTTCTTATACATATTAGTATCCTGCTATGTTCCATGTCACTAAGCATTAACCTAATCATCATCATTACCTGAATAATACTCCATTGCACAAAGGGGTACCATGTTTTAACTAGTCATTAATGATGAAATTTAGGTTATATTTTACCATTATAAAAAGGCTGTGATGCACATCTTTATACATTTTTGTGATTGTCCAATCATTTCTTTAGGATAAATTCCAGTCAGTGGAATTGCTAGATTAAAGGATAAACACATTTTAAAGGTTTTTTTAATCCATGGTCCGAAAATGTATAAATTAATAGCTCTAGGTTTTGTTAATTCCGTCAATTTTTTTTTTTTACACGGTGCTAGGGATCAAACCCAAGGCCTTGCTCATGCTAGGCAAGCACTCTGTCACTGAGCTATACCTCCAGCCTTCTTTTAACTATCGTTAATTTGCCAAAGGGGAGAAAATCTTGTGGTCTTATCTTGCCTTTTATTACTTGTGGCTTTAAATCTCTTTTCATCTATTTATTGTCCACACTTTTGGTGAATAAAACAAGTTGGCTTTCCATTTTTCTATTGTGTCAACTTTTTCTTATATTTCCTCTTTATGTCAAAACCCTCGGATCCTCATATTATTTTCTCTCATATTTACAGAATATATTTTTCCTAATGCAGATTTTCACACATTTCTTAATTTTATGAGTTAAATTGATCAGTTTTTCAGTGAGGTTTAAAAATTCCCTCTGAGGTGCGAGGTAGCATAATAGATTGAAAAAGGCAGAGGATTTTCAAAGAATTTAGTGCAGGATCTTTACCTATGTCTGGGTAGAGATCACCTCACAAGATGTGGTGTGGAGAGCACTAGATTGGGAGTCAGATCACTTTTTTCCGGGTCCCAACTTTCTCATCTGTAGAATAGAATGAAAATTCCCTTGTAGGGCTATACAAAAGAACCCGAGAGAATGCACACACCCAGGCCCAGTGTACAGAAAATCCTCTTTAAATCTTATCGGGGGAGAGGGCAATACGCACTTCATTTTCAATTCAGTTGGTGTATGAGTACCTGGGATCGCGGGTGGGGAGGAAGTCCTAGAGATTCAGCGATTCACCCAACATCTCTGTGTTCTCCAAGTTCTGGAGTCAGAACTTGGGTTCCAATCCTGCTCATGCCCCTTTCTTGGTATGTGACCTTGGACAAGTCACCTTTACTCTCCGCGGCTCAGTTTCTTCTCTTGGAAAACAGATACATGACAGACCACCTGCCACAGACCACCTGCCCTTCTTCCACGGCGGCGTTCCAAAACGTTCGAAGGAGACGCTTCGAAAACGTTCACAAAGGGCGGCAAATACGCTGATTACGGGCGGCGGGGCGGGTGGGGAGCGCTTGGCGTCGGCCGGAGGAGAGGGGCGACCCCCGGAGCGCTCCCGCCCGGCCGCAGGAACAATAGCTCCCCCGGAGGCGGTGCCGGCCGGCCGCGGGCGGGGCTGGGGTGTACGCGGGGCGGGGTCGTAGCCCCCCCTCCCCCGCGGCTCCGTCACGCGCCCCTCACCCTGCGGGCCGGGGTCTTTGTGACGCGGTGGCGACGGGAGCGGACACAAAGGGAAGGCGAGCTGACGAGCTGAGGGCCGGACCTGCTCCCGCCCCGCGACCCCCGCCCGCCGCGCGTGCGCGCGCGCTCGCCCGCTCGCCCCCCGGCCTCGGTCTCCCCCACGCGGGCTCGCACCCTCGCGCGCTCCCTCCCTCGCGCGCCCGCGACCCTCTCACGCGCCGGGACCCACCGACTCAGTCCCGAGCGAGCGCGGTGGCCGGGGCCTGGCGGGCGCTGCGGGCGGGGCGGGGATGCTGAGGGGCTGCTAGGAGGCGGCGGGGCTGCGCACGGCTGGATGCCCCGGGCCTGCAGCTCCCTTCGCTTCCCGCCGTCCAGGGGCGCCAGCTATGGGCGCCGCAGCCGCTGAGGCGCCGCTCCGGCTGCCGGCCGCGCCCCCGCTCGCCTTCTGCTGTTACACGTCGGTGCTTCTGCTCTTCGCCTTCTCCCTGCCCGGCAGCCGTGCGTCCAACCAGCCCCCGGGTGGCGGCGGCGGCGGCGGCGGCGGGGACTGTCCCGGTGGCAAAGGCAAGAGCATCAACTGCTCAGGTAGGACCGGTCAGCAGCCGCCCCTGGGAGCCCTCCCTCCGCGGAACCCCCACCTTTTCCCCGTTCCCGCGGCTGGGCTGGGAGAGACCCCGGCTTGGGGCTCCTAGGAGCCGGATGCGAGGGTGCAGGGCAGGGTGCGGGAGCGGAGCGGGTTTGGGGACCGGCGTTGGGACAGGGAGTGGCTGTGCGTGCATTCGTGGGTGTCGAGTGGCTGGGCGAGGGCGGCCCCGCGTTCGAGTTACGAGGCGGAGCATCCCGCCGGGGTTCCCGGCGCGATCGTGGGTGTGCTGTAGGGAGCTTGTGTTTGTATTGAAGGCTCAGTGGAGAGGGGGAACGGTTCGGCCCGGGCCGGGAGGGGTGTGTGTGTGTGTGTGTGTGTGTGTGTGTGTGTGTGTAGAGCTGTGGGTGGGAGGTGGTTAGGGGCTGGGGCGCACAGCTTGAAAGCCAGAGTAATGACCCTGTGCTGAGCAGGGTCTTCCTTAGGGCGCCAAGTCTCAGAGGAGTCCTGAGGACCCCAGTTGGCGATGTAGAGTGTGTCCCCTCTGGGTTCAGAGGTGAGATGGAGGCTTGGAGTATCCCCAGGTCTGTGGATATAGGCAGGGGAACGTACCAGGGCACAGGAAGTGATCCAGTGGTTTTGTGTGTTGTGTATGGATGAAGTCAGGGACTCACTTGGCCATCCTGGGATATGCATTGAGAAGGAAGAATCGAAGTCCTGGACTGAACCCCGTTTGTCAGAGGGAGGGGTCTAGGAAGTTATCTTGTGTGGGTTTTGAGTGTACAACGAGGTAATTAAATCTCCAAGAGTGCCCCTGTGTAGCAAGGTGTAACCCTGGATTATTATAAGGTGGTGTGCAGGGAATCATGTGCGTGTGTGTGTGTGTGTGTGTGTGTGTGTGTATTTCTCTGGACAGCCTGGAGATTGGCAGCAAGGGGAGCAAGGGAGTGACCTTTCCCCTCCAGCCAAGGCTACTTGCCCTCCCGAAGCTGTTGGAAACAAAGAGCTTGCTGGGCTTTAATAGATGACACTGGGAGGAGGGTACTGTGTAGTTAAGTTCCGTTTTCCTTTCTAAAGGGGTCCCACAGGAGCCCAAGGATTCAGGGCCTGGGGCAAGGAGAGGCATCCGGGTATCTTTTGGGGGTGGGTGGGTTTTCCTGGAGCTAGCCTGGCAGATGCTGGTAATCATAAGCCAGTCATTATTAACTTGGCCTTTGTCAGTTCCTAATTCTCCACTGGGCTGCTGTAAATTCAGGGTGAAGGGGGTGGAAGAGTGGACTTCAGGCCACTAATCTGCTTGGAATCTTTGTACCTTTGAGTTTTTCATGGGCATTATTTTGGGGGAAGTGATGGCGCAAGAGGTTATGCTACCCTAAATAAAGGCTTTGGCCTGCTGTTTAAGTATGACGCCCTAAAACCTTTTAATGATTTTCACATAGTAGCTTACGTGAGGGGGGAGGGGTTTTGAGAACAGTCGACAATGACAAGTACTTATATTAAAATCACTTCCATCCATGAAATAACTTATTTTTCTAATAGTAACTGGGATATGATAATGCTTTGATAAATAATCACAGATTTAAGAATAAAAGCCATTTGTAGAGTGCCTCTTTTGTAACGAATATTGGTTATCAAATTTGCAAGTAATCACACTATGTCAAAATATTTTATAGGCAAATGTGCTTTGGTTATTTGTTCTTGATAAGGTAATTTGTCCTTAGCAAAATAGTGTGTGTTGATGGATGTGTTTGTGTATGCTTTCTAACTCTAGTGCCTAGGACCAGTTTTAAGAAAGGAAATAGAGGACTGGAAACCCGTATGGTGTGGGAAAATGGGGACTGATCTAGGGGTCCTGCAGCTTCTGTGTAATTTGGGGGAAGTTACTTAATTTTTCTTAGCTTCTTCTATTAAAAAAGAGATTTGTATTTAATAATATTTGAACCTTCTTTCAAGGAATATTTGTCACTGATCCAAATGTCAATAAATTAGGCTGATCATATAAAATACTTTCTAGTGCTGAGACATACTTGAATAACTCTAGGTCTAAAGCTAGAGTTTTAAGTAATAGCTGTAGGCTCTTGCAACTATTTCAAGGATGAAGAGTGGGAAAGATTCATATGGGAAATACACATTTTTAAAAATTGATGAATTTGAGAACTATAGTAATCTAGTCCAGACATACACATCTGTTAATACAGTTTGAGATTGTGTGTTGGTCTTTTAGTAACTTTTATTATTTAGGTATTTCCCATGTAAACTGAAGTTTACTTGTTCATATTTTTGAATTTTAAAATCTTAAGTGCTGGCTTTGACTCCCTTTTTTGATTTTCATTTTTGTGTTTGGACCATCATTTTGACCTGTTGTGACCTTCGTGGATCCTGATTTTGTCAGGCTGCTTGTGTTAGGTACTCAGCTTCGTGGCAGGTATGGATGTGAAGAATAGGTCTATAGATTTAATTTTTATTACATTGATAGCAGTTATGTAGATTGTGGGAAAGGATGGAGCCCTGTAATATTTTACTCAAGTCTTCCAACCAAATTGGTTGTTAGGATATTAGTCAAACAGATGTTTGACCACAGCTATGCATCCTCTTAGTTGTGTTTAACAGATTTCTTAGCTTTGACAGTTCAGCGTTTTCCATTTTGTTCACCAGCCTATCATTAAAAGATTCTGTCAGATTGGCTTGTTAGCGTCAATTATGTAAGTGTCCCTATCATATTCCCTTCTTCCATTTTAGTAATCCTGTCAAAAAACAAAACCAAAAAAGAAATATTGTAGAGCCTGTGTTAGTAAGGAGCTTGTGGTGGCTGGTGGCTTTCTCTTTTTACTGTATTTAAAGACTTGTTATATACCCATTCTAGAATTATTTGGCAGATTGTGGCATGGTAATCCATAAATGTTTTTCTGGATCTCTATGTTGCCTTATTTTGAAAATTGAGGATGCATTCTTTCATTTCTGGTCATGTTTCATTTCTTGTCAAGATTGCATAAATAACCAGCAGTTATTAAATTGGATCTGAAAAAAATAATGAAGTTAAATTTGATCAGAAACAATACTTTTGAACTAGTGCTATCCTATTATTGTCCCCTGTCCATGCTACTTGTCTTGAATGTTAGCTCGCTTTTATTTAAATTCTGACCTTCCAAGCTTGAGGATCAGGCTCCATGAAGACATGTTATGAAGCTGAATGGGGCTGCATTGTGCCTTCATGGCTTGGTTATTACCACATCATCCCTTCCCTGTGGGTCCTTTTTTATCTCTTCTTGTCCTAAACAAGCCCTTTTTGTTGTCCTGTTCCCCAGTTCTCTACTCATTCTGGACTTTAAGCTGGTTGCCTGTTATTTTTGATTTTTGTATCTTTTTATTTATATTTTTCAAAAACCTAACTAAAAAATTCTCATATAAGAAAGTTCTCTGTTTATCTAAAGAGAAAAAAGGTTTGCAATACATGATATTTGTGAAGAAAGAAGAACTTTGAGACCAGGTAACCTTAGACATGACATTTTTTTCCATTTGTAACAATGGTCCTTTTTGGTTTTAGGGTGTCTGAGAAAAACAGATGAGGTTAAACAGGTGAGGCATTTCTAGCTAAACATACTGAGACCAGTAAGTAGCATTTGGTGATAGATATAAGATGAAGAATTTGAACAAGGTTTTAAAAGTGTTACAGAAGTTAGAAATGGGTCCTCTGGATTGTTATATGGTTGTAGGAATGTGGGTCCTATAAATTTTAGATTGAGAGAAGTGCCTTGTTAGTGGGAGCTCAGAATTCTGGGGAATAAAAAATGAGTTTTTCAAATTAGTTTGGAGTCTCAATTAGGACGCTTCTAGATCCCTGGTTTGTAAAATGCAAATATTAAGTTATTTAGTGAGCCTTGATTGATTGCTTTGTTGTATAGTCTAATATACCATATGGTAAGGGAAATATATGAGAAGGTATTTCTTCCCTCAAGGGCCTTACAGTCTAACAAAAGTGGTTAGCCCTATACAGATATATTCAGTGGAAATTTCTGCTGGGCCTGCTTTTCCTCCCTGGTCCTCAATAAGCATTTTTGAATACTAAGAGCAGTGGAATTTTAAAAAAATTGTACAGTCAGGTGATTTTCAGAATATTCACAGAGTTGGACATACGTCACTACTGTGTAATTCCAGAACATTTTCTTCACTCCAAGAAGAAACCCTAGAAAAAAATAAAAACAAGGAAACTATACCTATTAATAGTCATTCCACATTCCTCCCTTGTTCTAGCCCCTGGGTACTACTACTAATCCATATTCTTTCTCAATGGATTTACCTATTCTGGATATGCATGTAAATGTATCAGAAAATAAATCTTTTGTGTATAGTTTCTTTCACTTAGTGTAATGTTTTCAGAATTTGTGCCATACCATGTATTAGAACTTCATTCCTTTTTATGATTGAATAATACTCAGTTGTATGGATATACCACATTTTGTGTGTCCATTCTTCCATTGATAGGTATTTCAGTTGTTTTTACTTTTTGGTGATTATTGTTGCTTTCCCCCAGTCTTGTACGACCTACTACTCTGCCTTAATCTTGTTTATCTTTATGTTGTTGTTGTTTATTCTTGCAGTGCTAGGGATTAAACCCAGGCCCTGGTGTATGCTAGGCAAGTGCTGTGCCACTGAGGTGTGTTCCCAGTCATTTTTTTTTAAAGGTTTTTTTTTTTTTGTTGTTGTTGTTTTTGGTTCTTTGAGGCAGGGGCTCACTATGTATAGTATTAGGCTGGCCTTGAACTCACAGTGTCGCTCAGGCTGGCCTCAAACTCAAGGTGATCCTCCTGCCTCAGCCTCCTGAGTGCTGGGAATTACAGGCTTGTGCTACCATGCCCTGCATTTTTTTTTTTTTTTCAGTTTTAACCTTTTGAGACAGGATCTTGCTAAGTTGCCCAGGCTAGGCTCCAACTTGTGATCTTTCTACCTCATAATTTTATCTTTGAGGACAGGATGCTTATAGACAGAGATCCTTCTTCAGGTG